GTGGTGGGTGAACTAGCTGCCACCAATGTAGTGGCCGCGTAGGGATGTGCGTGTTGAGGTTCGTACGTGTCAGTCACCGGACGTGGTAGCTTGGGCTCCTTCTGACCAGAAGACAGAGGTATCTCTTCTAAGAGCGGTGTCACACCTTCGTACACACTGGCGAAAGACACGGGTGGGGTAGACATGGTAGTAAGTAAACGAATTGGCTATAAATGGTTTGTTATCGAAACGTTACTGAAATGGGGAGAAAAATAAGCAATAGTAAGCGATATATCCGAGAGATAGAAAAACGATAACGGAAATACGTGTCGACTTGGGGAATCAGGAAAACATAATCGGCGAAAAAGGGACGTCTAGGTATAGAATAAAAGGATAAGTATAGCAGGTAATCAAATCCGGAAATGTAAACGGCGAAAGGGGGGACGTAGCAGCAGGTACGGCGATAGGCGTCAGCTGGCGGAACCAAAAGGTCCGTTCCAAACAATCGGTTACTACAACACCAATGTAGGAACTTCTAGAGAGCTAGACCACGTGCTGCCATCTTGTAGAAGGTTCTAGAAAGTGCGCACCCCTTTAGGGACGTGGGTCCTCTGTCGCTGTCTTCGCCGGATCCCCGTGCCTACGATAAACCCTCTCGGACAACCTCGCCTTGCCACAGTTTATCTTTGTAATTAGGTTTCCCCTTTAGTCTCTTAATGTACATAGGACAGTTAAGTACATAGAAATTGCCAAAGCCTTCTTTCCTTGGGCCGCCTCTCGTACTGACATCTAGGCTCGCTAAACCAAACAGCCCACTGTCAGCAGCCAGGAAGACCAAGGGCGGAGAATGAACAACCGAAACACTTAACATAATTAGGGGAGCAATGTAACCAAGCAAAGAGGAAGGAAAATCTTACAAGCAAGATATAGGAAGGGATAAAAAGAACTATGGAAAGGAAGAGGAAATCGCTCGTATAATAGCAAAAACCGCAACTCATTGATAATGATAGGCTCCGTTTACGAAGTCCTGGTCGCCCGAACAATTGATCAATTATCAGTTATTACCTGGCGCTAGACTTAGCTTAAGACATTAAACAGACCATACAAATAATTCATGCAATAAGCTTTGTCACTGCCTCAACCCCCTTTAAGCCCTTACTCTATGCCCAAACTCAACCACAACCCTAGCCCTAACCCTTACCGAAAACACTAACCCTAACACTAACCCTAACCCCTACCCTAACCCCCATCATAAACCTAACCCTTACCAAACCATATAACTAATCCCAGCAGCAAAGTTTATCATGAGTGTAACTCCTGCCATCCCCAAGCCGTAACCCCTAATTAACCCCAATCTCAACTCTCACAATAACTCCGACGATAACCAAGTAAGAAATGCGCGCGAATTCCCCGCCTTGGTAGTACAACAGCTAGTGCCATTGAAGTGGACC